AAGGTCATCAAGTGAGCAGGGTAAGGAAATTCATGAAAGACTTACTGCAATGATTAAATACTTATTATGCAGTCAGATAAGGCTTAATTTCAATAACCTTGCTCAAGTTTACCTAATTATGGAACTGACTGCTTCAAAGGTTTTTTTCTTTTCTACAGATATAAAATATTCTCGTTGCTGAAAGTTGGACTGAGAAAAGCAGTTTTTATTAAGGCGTTTTTCCATACTGCTATTGCTTAACTTATACTCTGCTAACTGCTGTTTACAAGCTTGAATCCCAGCTTCAAGAAGATTCTGTGGATAACCAAGTAAAGTACAATTTGCAGTGGTTCGATTTTGGAGATGTGTGATAATTCTGAATGTATGCAGTACAGCACAAAATGGCAATATAATTACAAACCTGCTAGTGACCATTTCAACAGTAATGCTCTGTGAAATGCCACTAACTATATACTTGTTTTGATGAATCTGAGTAATGGATATCCAAAGGGCCAAAACAGTTCCTGACCCTCTGGATGGTTAAAGATTCTCACCAGCATTGTCTGGCTATGTCATTATTATTTTGTCTCAGAATCACTTAAAAAAAAAAAAAAAAAAAAAAAAAAAGCCTTTTTTTTTTTCCACAGAAAGATTCCCTTTTCATAATCATATTTGCTTTTAAACAGAGAACCACAATTTCGGTGCTTTAAAAGCAGAGAAAATAATTTCTGCTTCTGGTGCAACCTATTTGTAATTCAGAACAAGGAGGAAGGCAATTAACTGACATCTTTCTACATAATAATATAAGTTAAAGCTCTAAGGCTTTGCCTACACTGGGGAAATCCAGACAAGTTTCTCACTGTTGCTGACACTGGCATGGCCAAAACACTGTTAGGAATATTAAAGGTTTAATGCAGGCGAACTCACCAGCCTCAAAAAATGCTGTCAGCAATTAAGACTTTCCTGGAAAAGGAGTGGCATTCAGAGGTATGAATAACTGAATGATGCTGTACAAATAACCTGTGCCTGTTATCAGTAGTTATCAAATATGTTCCCACATAATGTCATCAGCCTTCTTTCATACTACTTTGCTAAAGCTTCTACTTCTTTAAAAGATATTTTAATTTTGAATAGACTGCTACTGAACTGTTTCTTAAAAATAAATTTAAGAAAAGATACTTCATAGTAAAACCAGAAAGTTTTAAATTATTTTCTGTGTCATTTTTAATCACCATTCCATTTCCATAGAAAAATGCTAACAGATGCTTTATAATATGGCTTCTTCACAAAATGAATCTGATCCTTTGGCACCTATAATCAGACTTGCATCTGCAAGCACAATATTTAAGAGCTACATTCCACCTGAATGGTGCTTTTAAACGAAACTTTTTGTATTTAAAAAATAAATCATTAAAACATTGCTGGGAGGAATATTATAAATGAGGATATTGGCAGGAATCCAGCATTATTGGGAAGGTAGATATTCACACTACTCGTGCTGCCAGTGGTGATTAATTAAAAGCCGTTAGATACCTGAAGCCCTAACAGTTCATTCAATATGATTCCCATTGCAGGAACGACCTGCTTTTGCTGATGAGATATTTATGCAGGCAGAAAAGAAAAAGAAAATCATGATAGCAAAGCACAAAGACACAAAGATATAAATGTTCATGTTTTATTTAAGGTCCCAGCTTTTAGTCTGGTTGGCTCCGTATCAGGAGAGGTGATTTCTGTCTCTACAGCATAGTTAATCAGGAAAGCCACACAAATCAGGTGGTAGAACTGTAGAGATCTGAGGCTAAAACCTTTGTGACTGCAGAGCAATGTGGAGGAAATGGGGGAACAAATGAATGCAGAAAATGTGGAAAACAGCAGTAGAAAAGATAGAAGAATGATGAAAGTGCCAAGTGGTGAAAGCAAAAACAACCAACGCTTCACAAGTTTATCTCTTGTTGCTACAGATATTGTTTTCAGCAGATGCCTGAATTTCCTTGAGAACAAGCAGAATTCAGCATTTATGAATGAAAGACATCCCATGAGCACAAAGGATTTAAAATAATTTGCAATTTTTACCACATTTGCCCGAAGTAATTTGAATCCTAAATTACACAAGAGAACACCCTCAACAAAGTCCAGTTCCTATTCACATGGAGAGAGAGATCTTTTCACTGTCATTCACACATCCTGCTGACACTCGCTCTCCAGATGTTGGTTGAGCACTATGCTGCATACTAAGTAACTATCATATTGCCAATTACAATATTTTCTCACTGATGACAACGTACTAGATTTTCAGATATTTTCTACGCAACTGATAGAAATCCAATGTTAATAAGACAGCTTTTAGTGAAGCAAGCCTGTGCAATTATTAGAAGACACTAATGTCAAACTAAAATGAGGAAAAGCAATGAGTACACCCACCCTACAATCTGTATGTTAAGGAGATGCTAATATGTTCTATGAGAATGTAGTGCTGAATTTTCTCTTTAAAATAATCTGTGATGTTCTGTAGCACCACTACACAGCTCTACTTTATACAGAACCAATAATAAGAACCCCACAAGGAGCAATCTAGACATCAGGACCCTGTCCCAACTTACAGAGAAAAACAAATACAGACAAATAAAGCAAATCACCAGTGCAGCATTGTCTTTTTTGTTGTTGTTGTTGTTTCTTTTTGTTTTAATTACTATTATTTGGGGCTAAAGAATCTGTTTCTATCAGTCAGGTTGTTGTTCTACCCAAAGATTTAAAATTGAAGTAGCAAGAACTGAAAGATCATATTTTGAATGAAGTTTCTTATTTTTAGGCAAAAAAACCCCAACAACACACCAACAGTAACAAAAATACAGCAGATCAAAATAAGACTGCTTTAAGTGCAAAAAGTGAGCCACTAAAATGGTTAATTAGAAACAAATCCACATCATATGAATCAGACTTTTTGTACTTAACTTTGCTAGGCATTGTTTGCCAACTATTTATTCTCTTTTTGTTAATACAGTATGATCTTGGCTTCCTTCTGCAAATCTTTAGAAGTGACCTGAATAGAAACTAAATAATGTATGGTCTTAAAACATCAGTTAAGGGAAGCAAAGGATAACTTCAACTGTACATATCATGTTCTTGTATGTAAGGAAGCAATTTCAATACAGTATAATGGAGAAGATTTCACTGTTGCACGTCAACACTTATTTATATAGATACCTATTTATATAGATACTTCTGTTTCTAGAACAAGAAAACTATCACTATTATACTTTACAGTCACATTTTACCTTGATCCAAATTCTCATTCATGTAGGCAGAAATGTTTTAATTTCAGTAGCATAACAAATTTTGGATTAATTTCCTTCAGACAAAGTCATTTATATTCCTATGCAAATGAGCTCAAATGGTAGCCAAGGGTGCCTCAGCAGTCTATGCTTTTCAATCAGATTTTCTGAAGACAAGTTGTTCCTCAAAGCGCTTGCAGTGCGCAGGTTAAACAAGATCTTGGATAGACTACTGACTCACACAAAGTAAGAAACTCCTCTAAGTCTGCAAGGAAATAAAATCTTTACCTTAAGTATTTTCAGCTAAATCAGTCATAGTTTAATACCTGTTGTGTGATACCCATTTAGGAAAAACCTTTTGAAAATACCACAGCTAGAGAGACCTGCCTGTTGTTCTGATACAACAATTCTGTAGAAGAAAGTCTTGCTAAAGCCCTGCAGCACGTGTGTGCAGAACTCCACAGGGCTACAGCATGCTCTTTCTTCACAAACTTTGTTTTTGCCAGGGAGAATGACAGGAGGGCTCACCTACTCCTAAGTTTTGCTTGCCTTTCTGACCATCCTGTGTGTGTGTCTTGGGAACATCCAGAATAAACAGCGCTTGAAGACCTTCAGTCTAAGTCCAAGATTCTGCTCTGAAACAGCTGTTACATGGCACTTGAGAAAAAAAAGGCAACAGCCTTTTAGTGAAGGTGTTCTGTGGACTTGGGAAAAATTGATTCAGTTCCTGACCTTGCAATGACTGTTTTATGACCCCAGGAAACTCATTTCATCTACCTGTGCCTTGGTACAAAACTTTCTGCACCCCACAAAACTTCCCTGAGTCTGCATCCATTAATATTTGATATAGCGCTGTGCTAGGGCTCTTCTTCAGTGGGTAAAGCACTTCTTCACAGTGTGGGAAAGCACATCAAAGCTTGGGATAATGTTTAAAAGAAGAGCTATATATCACAGCAATGTTTCAGTTTCCATCTTTCACATAATCTTTTATACCTCATGTAATCACTCTGTGCATTCAGTATTTCTGTTACAAGTATTGCATTTCTATTTGCACAAAATGTGTCCCTGACATTATAGAAGATAAGGCTATCACAATTTTATTGATTGAGCAGAGAAGCTTACGTATGTTTTCAATCACTATTATACAGTGCATTTTGAGGAGATGACACATTTAACTAAGAAGAGATGGAGAAATACGGAAAAAGAAAACAGGAGACAAGATGACCCGGTAAAACATTCAGTCCTATGTATTTCTTGATACTTTTCAGTCTTTAAAGCCTTCGTGACAGAGCCAAGTTCTCCAGCTATTTTACCTCAAACTTATTTTTTTTTTTTTGCTTGAACTTGAATTTTGGCAAAATGCATTCAAGAAACCTTAGCAACATGAATCACATTGAAACACAGCACACACACTTTAATATGTGGATGTAGGAAGAAAATACACTTCTGCTGCTCCATTTTGACAAAGAAACAAAAAATACTTGAGGTAGTATTCAGAAGATTACAGTAAGCAACGGATTAGGAGTATTTGTCCAGTAAGGTGCTACTAGTGGTAGAATCAATCCTCTATGCCCAATTAGCAAGTGTTAATCTGCTTCAATTAATCAACTTTAAGGAAAATGAATATATAAAATAATGGCTTATAACAATTAAAGAGAATACTACCCTCAGACTGTACAAAAGATTTTTTGTAATGATGCTGCTGACAATTCATCAGATTTAACAAGGTGTAGTGAAAGAGGAACTGACCTCCCGAGGACAGATGATTCTCTTGGGACGTGGTGCTTCTTGTTGTAACTGATACACTGTCAAAGACAAAAATGTACAGATAATTAGAAGACTGCAACATACACAAACTTTTATTCAGATGAGTCTTTTAGCCAGAGGCTACAGAGAAAAATGCAAATGCAGAGACAGCAAACTGAGTTATTTAGGTATGTGCAAATCATTTATACGAAAACACAACTAGTTTGCTGAGCTGTAAACTAGTAAAACTGAATATTGTTTTAACTCTTAGAATCATTACTTCCTTTTAGAATTATTGCTGCCTCCATATCAGAAAAAAAAAAAAAAGGCTAGAAGGATTTTTCAGGTGTATCTCAGGATGAAATCTCACTTCTGCATGTACTGTGTCTGAAGAACAGAATGCTTACCAGCAGCACCTCTACTTTTTGGATAGGGCAAGAAAAGGTTCAGCCCATTTGAAAGAACCCATCATCTCATAATTTATTTGTTTTTAAGATTTCCTGGTGACTATTTATGAGCAAGAGAACAGAACGATTATGCCAATTTGGGATCAATTTTACCAGTCTTCTGAAGGCTGCAAGAGAAAGAGCTGAGGCCAGAGGTAGCTGCTGAGCCCTGGCTCCCAGCCTCTTCCCTTCATGTATTTAATGAGATCCTTCCCCTCCTTTCCACTCAAAAGTCACGAGAGGGAGATGACATACAGTGACAGTAATCAATTCCAGTGCAGACAGACTGTCTCTCCAGAACTCCAGTAAAAATCCCAAAGGCTGGGATTGCCTCCCTTGAGGAAAGCCTTCCGTATACTGCATTTGGAAAGATGATGTTGTGCCTAGGAATTTTTTTAAAGACGGAGTTCCTAGGGAAGTGCTCTTCATGATGCTTGTGAAGCTCTGAATTATGCCCCAAAAGGTGGCAAAACACGGAAGGAAAATAGATGGTAGTAGATTAGGTAAATATAGGAGTTCTGTCACAGAATGGGCGTGGAAATGGTAGGTGCTGCTCTTTAGCACCTAGTCTGCAATTTCTCTTTGAATAGGGCTAGAAACGGCTGTAATTAAACACAAGAAGTTAAAAGTCCTCAGCTTGCATTCAAGTTTCTCTTTTAGGGGATATGAAAGCTTTGGGGAGTGTGTTCCTTGCTAATGTCAAGGTGGATAAAAACATATCATTTCCCAAAATGATCTCTGCATCCCTGGTTCACAGGAGGGTCAAACAGGAGAGTTCTTAACTCATTTCTACTGTCAGTTTTAAAGCCTATGTATGCACTCCAGGTCTGAATATGTACTAAGAATTTAGTCTTAACCTGTTTCACTAAGCACTGCCAGAGCTATTGCTGTTTTTATAGAAGATTTATCACAACTTCTGGGCTTTCTTACCTCGTCCAATTGTGCTACCAAGTAAAACTGAAAGCTTTCCTTTTACCCATTTCTGATCAAATTACTTGTGTATCCAAAAGAATTGTTGAGTAAAGCATAACAAATATGCTTCAAAAATCAGAGACCATTTCTTAAAACTCTAATTATTGTGCATCTCAGTATTACAGTTTCAAGAGACCATTTCTGAATGTTTGAAACCAGTATAATAGCTGATTCATCAAGGTACTGATGCTTACCACCACAATGCTTAATACTAAACATACTAAAGAAGATTTTATTTTTTTTTACTTCCCCATACTTTTCTAGTAGGGAAAAGGTACTCTATGGATTCAAAATACTGCAAGTACAAGATTGCTTCCTTGCCATTTTAAATGAAAGATCTATTTCCCAAATTCATTCATTTAAATTTTAATTGAAAAATTATACTTTATAAAAATCCCATTTTTCAGTAATCAAAACTGTTAAATATTAACTGGCAGAGCAAATTAAGCTGATGAAGCTGTTTCTAAAATAACCTTGATAGCTGCGGTGCTGAAAAAATAGGTCTGAAGAACACATATGAAGCCTAACTTACGACATGCTGCACTTAGAAGAAATGAGAAGGGTAAAGAGCTCTTTGAAATGTCTGAAAGGGTCACTGAGGCTGATCACACAATCTCAGAATGGTTTGGGTTGAAAGGGACTTCAAAGATCATTTAGTTCCAATGCTCCCGCTGCATGTAGGGTTGCCAAACACTAAATCAGGCATTAGTTTAGACTGCCTAGATATGTCACTGATATCACTGGAGAAGCATCAGCATTTCACAAAACAAAGGGAGGAATGGAACTGCTTACTTTGGATATCATCTCCAAGAAAATGCAAGAGAAGAAGGTTAGTAGTAACCAACATGGATTTACCAAGGAGAAATCATGCTTGACCAATATAATAGCCTTCTAGGATATTGTAACTGAGTGGGTAGATGAGGGGAGAGCAGTGGATGTTTTCTACCTTGACTTCAGCAGGGCTTTTGACTTTGTCTCCCATAACATCCCTGGAGGTAAGCTTAGGAAGTGTGGTGAGGTGGATTGAGAAGCTCCACAAAAACATGAGGAAAAATTTCTCTATTTTGAGGGTTATGCAACACTGGAATAAGCTGCCTAGAGAGGCTGTGAAATGATCCTTCTCTGGAGATATTCAAAACCCAGTTGAATGTTTTCCTACATAACTTATTTAGGGAATTTGCTTTAACAAAGAGTCAGACTAGATGATCTCCAAAATTCCCTTCCAGTCCCTACAATTCTATGATTCTTTGAATGTCTAACAAGAGAGGGTGGTTATACAAAAAATTTGAAAGTGAACACAGGAAAGCAGACTTTGATAGGATGCAGTGGATCAATCAGTGCAGGGATTCATGATGGGTACTAGAAGGACAAACCATCCTAACAACTGTGTTCTGAATAGTCTGAAGAAGACTGCTGTCATTCTCGGGTAATTAATCTCCACAGTAATCTGAACTGAGAAAGATATCTAATTTAGAAATACATCAGAGGAAAATAAAGTAAGATTACTACTATACAAATAAATAATAATCTACATGCTGCCTTAAGTGTGCAGGATGAGAAATGGACCTCCAGGTAACAAGCACAGCAGAGCTTGTGACTGTTCATAAGCACAGAAAACACTGTGAATGGGAAATGGTTTCCTGGGAAAGATAATGCATTCAGATTTGGTTGTATTAACTTTAAATGGAAAGACATTAAACTGACAGACAGACAGCCCCGTAGAACTACTGGAGAGAGATGCAGAACTATTAGGATGAAGGAGAAAAGACATACTGGGAACAGAAAGAAAGGACTGAGACTCATCATTGCCATGATGGTGAGAAATGCCAAGCAGCTCAAGGAGAAAGAAACAACAAGGACAGGCAAGAATACTCAGAAACGATGCAAAGTAAGGCAAGGGTGGAAGAGGCAAAAACAGCAAAAGGGCAAGTAAATGAAGAGCTGGGAAAGACAATATTCCAGACTGGAGCATTACGGAGGAAAGCATGTGTGATGGTATAGAAAGTTGTGGTCTTCTCTAAAAAGGTTCTCTTGTTACTGCTTCACATGATTGCTATGTGAAAATCAGCAGATGAGGTATGAATACAAGTGAAATATGATGGTTAAGGTGACTCGATAAAAACGTGCCCTACAGCTAAGTTCCAATGAGCACAGACACCTCATTAAGTGACCTCATTTCAGAAGCGCAGAACATCCCACAGCACTGCCTGATTTCATTATATTTGCTGGGTGCTTACCTCTTGGACTGACACACTGCTGAGACCTCAGCAGAGTCCAGCAAATGGTCAGAAGTTCAGAAAGATTTTGATCGTCCATTATTCACTTCCTCCAGTGACATCCTAGCCTTGCTTTTCTGCCTCATTTCCCCCTCATCACTGCTGAAAATCTTAAAACAGAACCCAATTCATAAGGATATGGTTGACTGAAGTAATATAAAAACATACTTATTTAATACAGAGCTAAGCAGTGATTGACATCTGACCCAGTCTATCTCAGCTTTTAGAACTGACAGGTACATTAGAGACAAACTCACTTTGATTATAAAAAAGATTATGCTTGAACAAAATGATACATTGCTATTCTAGCCCAGAGAAAATTAACCTCATAAAAAGTCAACAGCACACAAAGAGAGAAAACAGCATCAGACTGGAAGTAACTTTCTGGTCCAGCATCAGATGCAAGTGAAATGCATAGTACTACTAGGACAAAATATTGAACCAAAATGCACCAGTGCAATAGAAAAAAAAAACAAACAAAATTTAAATGCCCTTTAAACAATTTTCATCAGCTTAATAATTCAAATAGCTTGCTAGTATCCACAGTATCATAATCACCTGGGAGTGCATAAAGGTAACAAACTTTAGTTGATTATAGAATATCTAAGTGAACTTTTCTTTGAGATATAACTAGTTTGAATACATACAGCTCTTTTGTTGCAGAAAGAGGATGAGACTTGTAAATAAATAAAGTAAATCCTCTAATCTAACGCTGTTTGACCTAAAATTAATGCCTCCTGTTCTATTATGCCAGCCACAGCACCAGAGGCTGATGTTGGTGGTACAGCAGAAGAGGTTCAACCTCCTGACAGTATTCCATTTTAGGTAGTTGCTACAGATGGCAGCAAAGGGACAGTCTGACAAAATGATGTCTGACATGAAGGTGTGTGTAAAGCAAAAATGTGATGCTGAATTCCTCTGTGAAGAAAAAATGGCACACATTGACATTCCTTGAACTTCCTTAACGCTAATGGAAATCAAACAGTGGAAGCAAGCACAGTGAGGTGGTGGGTAGTGCGTTTCAGCAGTGACAACAGCAACATGAAAAACAAGACACGTTCCAGATAGCCATGCACAGCTTTCACAGCAGGAAATGAAGAGTATCACAATCAGCCCATTCACACAAATTACAACCAGGGGTCTACGCATGTAGCTGAATATCTACTTAATTGCATTCGAAGTTATGGTTGCAATGTTGGAATATTGCAGTTTGCACCAGGTGGCTCCCACAGATGTTGACACAAGAATGGAAAGAACATTGTATACGGGTTTGTTAGGACCTACTGAACTACAACGAGGCTGAAGGTGGCAGTTTCTTGGATCACATCATTACTGGTGAAGAGATGTGGTGCCATGACTATGACCCAGGGTCAGAATAGCAGTCCATGGAGTAGCAACATGTGAATTCCCCATCGAAGAAAAAGTTCAAGTCACAGCCCTCACAGGTAAAACAATGTGCAGTAGGAAAAGGGTGATCCTTCTGGATTTCCTGGGACCCAGACAAACCATAAACTCTTAACACACATTGTGATGGTGACTCAGCTGAAGGCTCACACTGCCAGACTCAGACCAGAGAAGAAGACAACCCTTCACTTGAAACATGGTAATACCAGCACTTACACCAATTTGAAGACTATGGAGTATGCTGCCAGTCTTGGCTGGATGTCCTACCATACCCACCAAATAGTCTGGATTTGGCAACTTCTAATTTCCATCTGTACAGGCTGATGAAAGATGGATTGTGTGGGTAACATTTTCCTAGCAATGTCACCATCATAGCAGTTGTGAAATAGTGGGTCACCTCCACTGGTGACCCGGACTGGTGCAGATTTTCAGAAACAGGGCAGGCAAGCCCTTTTTATTCATCAATGGTAAAAATGCATAGCTGATAGTGGTGACTATATCAAAACAGTCTTTTAGCCGTGATTTTGCTCTATCAAACAGTGTTATTGTATTCTTTGTATTTGTTGTAGTTTCCACAGAAATAAATAGGAGGCATTACTTTTGGAGCAACCTAAATATTTTAGACCAGAATGTCTAATTATAAAATCCGATCTGTGTAAAGCACCATAGAGGTAACATGCAGAAGTCAACACTTCTCTTCTGCCAGAGAAGGTGGGCTATCACCATCAACATCTCCATACTTTTTCAGTCTGCAGAGTGCCAGGAACTCAAGCTTTCTATTTTAACTCACCTATGACTATTGCTCAGTGATGCTCCAATGGAGAGGAAAAATTCCTATCACTGTTTTTATAAAGCAGTGAAGAAATGTACTGCCTTCTGCCAGAGAATGCTCCATAGAATTCCTTAGTTTTGTGGCTCTGCACCTTGCCACATTACTCCACAATAGAGTACGGACCTGTGAAATCTACATTCCTTCAAACAGTTACTCATGAACAAGTGAATATCTTCTGAATTAGAACTGTGCATCTTTTCCAAATCCAGCTGGAACAAGCTTCTGAATTATACCAAGTGTAACACTTGGATTCTGAAAGCTGTTCTGCTTTGACCAGCCTTTGCCCATCGATACCGTTAAACTGAATACTTTGCTTGCACAAACTGGAAAATCTGCCCTTGATGAGAAGCTGGAAGAGCTGAAGCACTGATAATTAAGTCAATGAATGACCACATAGCGCAGCTGTTTAAAAAGAAGTCAAAAGTATATGCAAGTATTTTAACAGTATATTAGCAAACATGGAAAAAAGGTTACTAGCTAAAATACACATAAAATAATTGTTAAATAGGCAGAAAGCATTGATTGCTAAGAGTAAAATGCATGTACTCATTTAAACCTGACCAGACAGGAGGAGATTGCATCACAGAGTAATGCAATCATTGGTCATAATCTCTATAATTAATTGGACAGATGATGATTTTTCTAGAGGAGCAAAGAAGTGCATTTCATCCAATATTGCAATGAAAAACATATGTCTGCGGCTAAGTAGTCTCAGCAATAAATCTCTGTAGGCTTAAACTACTATGTGAATTTTGGAGCCGGGTAACTTTTTCCTAAGTCATTCATGCATGGGTTTGAGATGTTGATGACTTTGTCATTGCCACAATATTGGCATCCTTCTTACATCCAAATAGGAAATTATATCCTCAGATTCTGTTAGTTCATCCTATTGTGCTTTTGTTGTTTGTGTAATTTTTTAAAAGGGCTACCTGTAAACTCTCAGGCAAAATGTAACCAAATTTTTTCACTGCATGCACTGGCCTGCCTGCTGCACAAGTGAGATGACTAACAGAAGGTATGTAAAGGCATGTGTCCCTGTTAGTTTTTGATGTTTTTCTCTATAAAAAGCTCCCTTATTATCATTTCACACCCTGGTCTCATCAGAGTCAATGTTAGTTTTTCCACTGACTTTAAGTAAGCTTGATTTTTATACTAAAAGAACACATTCAAGCCTCTATTTTTCTCCAAATACTCAACAAAGTTCCAACATACTGGAATACCAAAACCAAAAGTCCCCAGAAAACAGTGCTCTGAAAACCAATCTTTGTAATTTAATGGTATACTCAAATTCTGGATGAAAGAATCCCAGTCTACTATGAGGTAGAATGTCATTCTCACGTAGGTGGTGTCTTAAAGTATACTGTAATGTGCATGAAAGCAAAGCCAGCAAGTTTACTCAAACCTTTAGAATTATACATGTATAGGCATGTAACTACTGCAATCCGTTTTATACTTCCATTTCTGTAAAGGTGCTGTACTGAATTTGAAGTTGCCAAAATAAGAGGGTCATCTTTCACTTACGACAGTGATGTATCTGAAATCAGTGGGGAAAAAAAACACCCAAAGCTACAGTTTCACTTTAGTTTCTGTAAGTGTTCAAAATAAGATCAAATTTAAAGGCTATCTTTAACAAAGATTTATAAGGTAATATTTTGTCTTAATATTTTGTCTCTGTACTGATTTATTAAAACATACAAAGCAAAGAAGAACATAAAATATTAACTTCTGCATTGTACTCTATGTAGATGACTTCTCTAATAGCAAACAGGAAGGTTCTTAGAACTGATCATAGGGTCACTAATTTGTAAAGCACTTCAAAAAACATCTTGTATTGTTCAGGATCAAAACTTTTATTATCTTAAAGTGAATAGACAACCCATATAAAAAGACAAGTGCACTCAAATCTTCCCTTTAGTAAGTGCATGAAGCATTAACCTCTACCTTTGGAGCCCTCAGAAGAAAAGCTGTGAAACACCGGATTTACACATTAGCAAGGCAACCCAGAGAATCTGTCACTCAAAATCCTGTTGTATTTGCTCTACAGAGACCCAGAAAAGTTCGAGTTTCACTGTTGTCCCATTTATTGTCCCATTTAGTAATTTCTACAGTTATAATGGACATTTATGTTTTCCCCCACACCCCCCCAACAAAGAAAGGAAAAAGACATAACAGTGACATATTGGCAAGGTACTAAGATTATTCATTTTTCTGGTGTACTTACAATACGATTTCCATATTGGAGGCTGGTATTCTTCAGCATCTAAAACAGAAGTAAAAAGAGAAATAAATCAGTCAATTGGCCACTTGGTCAAACTGTCAGCATGCATTTTTCTGTTGAGAGTCCTCAGCTTGTCAGCAAAATTCACATTTCTTTCCCAAGGGAGACGCTAGCTCATTTAGAGAACAGTTTTCTGTATGAGAGAAGAATACAAATTTCAACCACTTGTAGATCCAATGTGCTTTTTCCAAATCAGTCAAATACAACAGGAATTAATTTCATACCAATTTGCATATAGTTTCCTGACTCACCAATACTTTTAAAGTAATTAACTAGACTGGTAGCAACATCCTTTGTTTACTTTATTCAGCATGATAAAGACTCTGGCTTCCACTACTGGCTTTCAATCAGGCTTCTAACTCCACTATTCAGATTTTAGAGTAAGTATAATAAATGATACATGCTTAGCTAAAAAGATGCACAGCTCCGACTGGACACTGATTTGACAGTTCCAACAATGAGATTCAATTACACTTCTTGAACTGACTATAGGATGCAATTTGCATATTTTCCAGAAACTGCATCAGCAAAAAAAATATAAATAAGAACTCAGAAAGAGGAAGGACTGCAAAAATAGCAGCTGAAGACAGATAGAAATTGTCTTTATCAACTGATGGCATGAAAAGATTTACTATCTTTTCTTAGCACAAGAGCTATACGACACTGCTGGACAAAATTTTGACAGAGAGATCAGAGTTTCTGTTTAAAAGTGCAAGCTTACAGAGCCTGAGAAAAAAACATCTTGAGAGCTCAGAAGGCTCTCCAGGCTGGAATGGAGACCTGCATCACTTGAGTGCCATGTTGAGTACATGAGACCACAAACCTCACTCCAGAGGGAGCTTTCCAGGCCTTCCTGAGGAACTGTTGCTTACACATCCAGAAATCCCAGCAGAGGCCAGGCTTGAAGTGCAAGATTTAACTAAGCTGTTATACATCAGCTACAAAGGGTGGGGTACCATGAATTAGCTTGGCTCTGAACTGCCATGTTGCCAAACACTTTGAAGAATTGCTTGTAGCAGGAGTATATCATTAACCTCCTAATACTGTGTAAGTTAATTAAGGTGTTTAGTATTTACCAAACCTACTTAAGTTATGCTAATGTAATTCAATTATACTTGCATAGCTCATGCTCCCTGTCTATTTATATACACACAACCACTTTAAATATAACCATGCAAAAGTTTGTTTACTAGGAATGTTAATCATTAACTACCATCTGCCACTTCTAACTCTATTGTTTTTCTAAAAAAGGATAAAACCCAACAATTATCACAGTTACTGGAATAATACGCTGCAACAATCTGCAGATATATTGATTAGGAAACCCATTCAATTCTGGTTTCAGCTGGATCCACTTCACAACTTTGGCAAAATTTTCAACACTTCCAGACTGACAGAGTTATATCATACTGTGGCAATCCAAGAGTAATTAGCTTGCAAATTCATTATACAGAAGGATTATTTTAAATTCTGAAGCTATTCATGAGACCAGCGAAATTTATTCATGCAAGAGCAGGTTAATTTTTTCTCTCTCTGTAATGGTAATACATCACTCCGTTTTTTTTTCTATACATCTGTTGCTCTCTATATCTTTTACTATAAACCCATAATACTGTGTATTATATTCCTATTCCACACTTCCATACTACTGCAACAAAATTTCTGAATTTGCTTATGAACAGGTTGGGTTTTTTTTTTTTTTTTTTTTTTTTTGTTGTTGTTGTTGTTGTTGTTGTTTTTTTCCAAATAGGAGAAACACTAAGATAACATGAACATTAGATTATCTATATTTGTGACTCTACAAAGGAAATAATAGTGGAATCAACAATGCAAAAAAACAAGTATCAGTTGTTGCAAATTAATTAGAAAAAGCGCATGAAATTAAACAATGGAAGCTGTTCCACAAGTGGCCATAAAGTGCTTCATTAGCTTTAGACAGACTGATGGTTTGGAAGCACTGTAGCCTAGTAAAAAACACAATCATTTTGAAGATAGTCATAAAACAAAACTGTCAATGATTATGTTAGATCTGTCACGGTTATTAATCCGTCAGCCCAGAGCAGACAGAAACGAGCAACTGTAAAGGGCAATACACTTGGAGGAAAAGCATGGGTTACCAACTCCACATTCTCCCTCTCAAGGTACTGCAGCATCCTCCCCAGTCCCTCCAGCTGATAGCATCTTAAAGCCAGGAGAACAAAACACAACACAAGCAGCATTATTAATGCTGTTTATTATCAAACTATTGTGCATGACATTTGATGGCATCCATTTGCAGGGAGATAAAAACAATTAGCTTAAATACAACCTAGAGAGAGAGGTCATGCTTAAGGATCAGGGAAATGTTTAGTGGAGCACAATGTCTTGTTCCCTTTGTGGAAGGAGGCCAGAGGGCACCTCTGCAGGCATGGACTGGCTGTTTTTTGTTTTGTATTGTTTTTATTATTATCCCTCTTCTACTCTAAGATGACTCTAGTAATTAAATTGTGCATCATTCTCCTTCACTAGGGTTAGTATAGCATGCTCACAGAGGTTACCAGTAATAGCTTCAGTGGTCAGCGCAGGAAGTATGTGACATCTCAAATCCCTCAGCTTTTGTCTTCAGTTCTGGATCGTGGTAACGATCTCAAGCAAGGACCACACACTTCAGTTTTGATCTACATACTTAGCCAAAACCAATCAACAAAAAAAATCAGACTTGGCACAAATGACAAGTGCCCTGAGTTATCTCATTATATTATATTCCTGATGTGAACTTCAATCATAAGGCTTATCCTAACTGCGATAGGCAGTACGTGAAAAAATGTTTAACTGACATATTCTTAGTTGATAAGACAGGAAGGTTCTCTCGTATCGCTGCTCCCTTGGGGGGTTCACACTTTCAACAGTGACATGTCTAAATTCAAGAAGGAAGACAGCTAAGCACAAGGTTGAAAGAAGCTGCCACAGAAGAAACTGAAAGCACAAAAGGAGTATCAGCTCAGAAAAGCTCAACCAAATGACACAGGGTCAACTATGATACACCTCAACTTAGAGAGACTCTCTGAATGAACTATACCATTTCTATTAGTTTAGGCCACTTTTCTTATTTCAAGTCTTAATGCCAACACTGTATCAGAAATGCAAAAAACCATGAAAATCCAAGGAATACTCACACTGCTTCTACACTGGAAAAACCTCAATTAGCAAAACAGGCATGAGAGATTTCCATGAAGAGTCTTACAGGCAATACTATTAGCTCAATCCTTTGTAACGTAACAGTTGAAAAGGTCAGTACTTATTAGGCATAAGAAAATAACTAGAAGATGGTTATACAGAAAGGCATTAGGAATGGTGAATGCTACCAAAGAAGACAGAAGGCTATGTAAAGGATGCATGATAAATGGTCTACACTTTACTTATAGCCATTCTTGAGCAATTTCTGAGAAACAAAGCTTACAGTAATTACAGAGTAAGCATAGTTATCCATAAACTTCAAGCCCTGTCCTTCTCCACACCTGGCTCTGAACCAAAGGTGCCACCTTTCTGGGAGCACTTGTGAAAGACACTGGAGTAGCTGAATTCCTCTTTACTGCTTCCTCGTACTTTGTGCAGATAGCAGTGTAACACAGATGTTTGCATTTTTGTATTACCAACACTGGGACTGACCTAGAAAAAGCAGCTCTGCTAAGCTACTCATTAGCAAAGACTCCAGACTGTCAGTACAGGTATTGCACTGGAAAGAGGAAACTGTTTTACAGGAAAGATCACAGATCACGCCACACAACTCAAATATTTCTGACTTACAAATACAGTTTCTAACTACAAGGGGAACAGTCACAAATCCCCAAATGTGCCTTGACCAGTTTAGAGATTTCAAAAAGTACTGATCCCTGTAGTACTAAAGAGTTACACAGACCATAGAGTGACAGCTGCCAAAGGGTCGCCATGACTCTCCGCTAATTTATTCAGTCAGTATTAAAAAAAAAAAAAGGAAGAAAACATTTTTTTTCCTTTGTCTTCCCTATAATCTTATTTAAAAAATTTTAAAAAATCTGCACTTCAGAAGCGCTGTCTCAGCTTGCATTTTCTGCCATTATTGTCTGAACTTCAGATTTCCTTTCCAGGAACAACTAATTTTAAAACTATGACCTGTGTGTGCAAGAAAAGACCCTTATTTGTGAAGAAGAGCCAATTTGGAAGAGACTAGCCTACCGGCAGTCTGCAGATAAATGATTAACCGGATGAACAAGTCTAGTTACTACTTTCTTCATCTTTTATTGTTATTTTCAGGACCAAGACTAAAACCTTTAAAACTTTAAAACTTTAAAGCCTTTTGTATACTTCCCTGGAAGAGATTTTGCACAGTTTTACCATATACTGCACTTCCATTTTGATAGCTTTGTTTCCAAAACATTCAATGAGCATGTTGTTTTTCTTATTTCATATATAATTATACTTGAGTAAAATGCCACGTGAAAGATCAATGGATTTGTATACTTAAAGGCACATGTTTGTATTTTTCATTTCCCTTCACACAACCAGGATTGTATTGTACAACTGACTAGCACTGAGATCACAGAGCCACAGAATGGCTGAGGTTGGCAAGGACCTCTGAGGTCATCTCATCCAAGCCTCTTCTCAAGCAGGGCCACACAAAACTGCTTGCCCAAGAGCAGGTCCAGATGGTGTTGGACTGTCTCCAAGGAAGGTTTGTATTCAACGTGCCATCCACCAAGACCCCCAGGTCCCATTTTTCAGAGCTTGTTCCAGCTGTGTGGCTCCTAGCATGGAAGGAGTAGTGAGGGAGCTTCTTTGCTAAGGGCAAGTTTTTTTCAGCATGCACAACATCTCTGCATTATTTAATTTCCTTCAAGTACTTAAAATTTAGCAATCACAGAAGCTCATTTTCATCTTATCTGGTCCACTAATGGCCAGTAAGCTAGATGGCAAACAGCTATTTTCATTTGTTTTACCCTGTTGCAAATTAATATAGATGCATA